TGGGCTCTAATGTTAATCACTAGACCATTTTATAATTTGGAGTTGATCTCAGTACAGAGATATCCTTCTACTTAATCTGCTGATAGCACTAAGCTGAAATACTGATTCTACTACTCTCTGGAACATTTAATAAAGTCTCTAAACTAATTGCTATTAAAATTACTTCTCCTTCCAGGAGTTAGCCATTAGTGACAACTCTATTTTGCTACCACCCTGGTGCTGGAACACTATCACCTCACACCTGCACTACTGCCAACAGCCTGCTAACTGGTCTCTCTGCCTCAAGTCTCCCTACACACCGACCCCTTCTCCACTCAGCTATCAAAGTGATCTTCCTAACGCATAAGTCTGACCATCTCACACCCCTATTCCACAAGCTCCAGCAGCTTCCTATCACCTTCAGGATCAAATATAAAATCCTCTGCTTGGCATTCAAAGCCCTTCATAACTTGGCCCCCTCCTACCTTTCCAGTCTTCTTACACCCGACTCCCCTCCATATACTCCAAAATGTAGTGACACTGGAACAAGACATTCCATCTCCTAAATCCAAGGGTTTTCACTTCATGGGGGATCCCTATGCCTTTCTCTCCCTCTGGAAATCTACCACCTAGCCTCCCTAGCATCAAGTCTCAGTCCTAAGTCTCACCTTCTGCAAGAAGCCTTTCCTAATCCTCCTAATCCTAGTGCCTTTCACTCTGAGACAACACCCAATTATCCTATATAAATCTTGTTTGCACATAGTCGTTTGTATGATGTCTCCTCATTACACTGCAAATGCCTCAAAAGCAAGACTTTTTTTTTTGCTTTTCTTTGTATTCTCAGCACTTAGCACAGCACCTGGCACACAGAAAGCACTCAATGCTACTTGACTATGCTAGTTGACTGAACGCTTCTGTTGCTGTCTGACATGGCATCATCTGGTGTTGTGATTTCATTGTAGTTCAGCAAGTTTGCCTCAATTACAAGTTGATGATGATGCCTTATAGAAATTAATTTCTATCATTTCTCCTTCATTGTCTATGTTCAAAAATTCCCATTGATCTGAGTAGCCACTGAAGCATCCTTCCTTCAGATAATGATTTTAAAATGCTCCCATTTTTTTTAATTTGGAGAGATAAAGAATGATCTTTTAACTTTTCATATCTCCTCTTCTAAAAACCTCATTTTAGCTAGTTTCTGGTTCAACCAACTAGTTACCAGACACAGCGTACAACACTTTCACCACTTCCTAAAAAGGTTGCTCATAAAAGCAGCTATGACCACCTCCTCTAAAAATTAAAAAAAAACCAACACAAACCTATACTCCCAAGTATGCAAATCCAAACACTGAATTTTAAATGACCACCATTCTACTTGCTATGGATAGGATAGTACAGGACTGCATTTACACAGCAATGGACACTGAATTGCTTCTATTTTATGCCTCAGAATATAACAATGAAATTAATTAATCTCACTTCAAACCCAGACCAGCCTTTGACTCACCAGATGACCTCTCCCCCTCCGATTGGTGAGTTCCTCCCTACAACATCTATTTAAGGAAGACCCCATGCCAGCTATGACCACTTCACATGTAGATCAGGACTCTCCACTCTAGTTCTCTACCTTGCCCCTATGCAAACACCATTCCCTCTCCATTTCCCAACTTTCTCAGGCTACCCCTACTTTTCAGCTCCCTTTTATGTGCTGTCTTCCCTCACTGGAATGTAGGCTTCTTAGAAGCAGGGACTGTCTTTCTGTTTGTATGTGTATTCTCCGTGCTTAGCACAGTGCCTGGCACATAATAAGCACTTCATAAATGCTTTAACTTTTATCTATTTTTATTTTCCCCCCAAGTCTGTCTCCCTTCACCCACCCACTCGATCCTTGGCCTATAGAGTTGTTCATCTGCTCTGTACAGATGCTTTGGCTCAGTGTCTAACAGTTTGCCTTTTTGTTTCAGTTCCTCTCCTAGTAATATTAAGTGGTCTCTTTGTTTTCTTTCAGAAAAGAATACTTACCTAGCATCACAATATGATCATGCTGGTTTGCTGAATGCTCCCTTTATTTCGAGGTCTACACACTTGAATGATCTTCACATTGCAGCCAAGGATGACACCCCAATGTGTCTTTGGAATATAAGTGCTTCACAGACTTTTGTTTTGTCTCTTGCAGCAACTGCTGGTGATTATAATCTCTCCTTTTTGTTCTTGCTGAAAATTTAGTTCTCTTGCTCATCAATATATTTAAAACACTGCCTTCACATTTTTTTAAAGCTATGTGGTTTTGGTAGTTCATAGGGCAAATTATGAAAATCATCACCATATTAATTTTAGGTGAAATCTTTGATAAAAGAATGCTTCATGGAGATATACTGTATTTCCTAGACTTTCATATGACCTCTTCCTGTGAAAGGCTAGGCCACAGAAGAAACAAGGAAGGCACATCTCTCCTATAATCTGTATACAGTATAGCAGTCAAACAGAAAGTAAAACCCCTAGTTAACTAAAATTTTGGACTCTCATTGTCCCCAACATGTGGGATAACAGAATACCTACTTGTAGAAAGGTATTTTCAAGCTCACATTCCAGATGGCTCTCTTCCAAACACAGGAAACACCTTATGTAGGCAACATAGCGTAAGATTAATGGACATATATTGCCTGCTGTTCTGTCCCCAATATAGCACTCTGCATTAATTAACTTCATCTTATTGGTATTCACTGAGGTATAAGAGAAAAGCAAGAATTTAGAGTCAAAAGAACTGCTTTCCATTCAACTCAACAAACATTTACTAAGTGTCAGCTCTGTGCCTGATGCTAGGAATACAAAGACAAATATGAAAATGTGGCAAGTGCACTAATAACTATAGAGAAAGGGCAGAATTAGAAAAGGCTTTATAGAGTAGGTAGTATCTATATTAAGCTTTAAAAGGAAGATGATTCTGAATGCCAAAGATGACAAGAGAGGCATTCCAGGCTAGGAGACCAATTATCTGAAATTAAAGAGATGGGAAATGGACTGCCAAATTCAGGGAACAACTACTACATGTGTTTAGTTGGGATGCAGAGTACATAAAGAGGAGTAATATGAAATAAGTCTGTCAGTCAATGAGCATTTATTAAATGTCTACTATGTACCAGGCACTCTGCTAAGCACTGAGCTTTAAATGCTAAGCTAAGGAGTTTGCATTTTGTCCTAAGAGGCAATAACAAGGGAGCCACTGCAAGATCTAGTCTGAGCTCTGCCAACTAACTGGTTATAAGGCCTTGGGAAAAGTTACTTAACCACTCTAAAACTCAGTTTCCTATTTATACTACATAAGAACTACATCTTAGGACTGTGGAAGTCTTTTTCAGGTCCAAAATTTTATGTCTTTCTGATGTAATTAGCAAGGTTACTGACAGAGATCACCTTTACCAAGACTAAAGAGAGCAGTCACAGGTAATTGCACATTACCTGGCATTACCTTAAGGTTTTCTCCCATCACTTCCCACACAGAGCGGTCAAGCCATTTCTCATCCGACCTGCAGCACCTTTCAGGTCCCAACCCTGAGTGCAACAAGACAACTGAGCTGCCTTGAGATATTTCTATGTCACTTCCCTGCTCAAACTTCTGTCTTCCTCAATAAAAGCAATAAAAAGAAAACTAATGGATGATGATGACATCATTTGAAGAAGAAAAGAGGAGATGCAGAAGAACCTACCAAGCATATTTACAGCTGTGGCCCAGGCAGTAGAGCCTGTCACTCAAGTACAAAGATGTCATGACTATTTTGCAAAAAAAAAAAAAACTTCTCATTACAGCAAAAGACACAAGACCTGAGGAAAGGAAGGAGCCCTAGGATGTAAACATGAGAACACCTACGTGGGTGAATAGCTCCTCCTGCCAGCTGAGCTCTATGATGTAACTGCCCATTATGACTCATAATCTCTACCTGTCCTCCAAATACCAGTCTACCTCTGACATCAAGAGCATGAGTTAGAAGATTTAAAAACATACTGGATTCCAGAGAATTCCAGGGGAATGGAAAATGAAAAACTTCTTGTGCTCATATTGACTTGTATTTCTATTTGCCAGGGTGCAAAATGGCATGAAAACACATATAACACAGAGAAAAAGCAGCTCTTACTCCTTGAATGTTACTCAACATGAATTGTGGAGGAAAGACTAATATGATTTTCAAGTGAGCCTTTCATTTAAATTTTACAGATCAATCTAGTCCTCAGAAAAGCAGAACCCCGATAAGTCAGGAAAGAATAACCCACCTTTCATAACCTAAGCTATTCTGGAGTAGAAACAGATAATATAACTATAGAAAGTAGCTTTATGGGTGACAAGAAAAAGCCACTAGAAGACAACAAGCAATTCACTTTCACTTATAAAATGCAAAGTCAACACTCCAAAAGTGAAAGCCTAACAGTAAATCCTATCAGAGCTACAATTACTTTCTCCTGTGGATCCAAGTGGTAGGGAACCTAACTGTTTCATAAATCACCCACCAGCTTTAAGGATACTGGAAATTGTTGTTATGGTTGTTCATTTGTTCAGTCATGTCCAATTTCATGACTCCATGGACCACAGCATGCTAATACTGTCCATGGGGTTTTCTTAGCAAAGATACTAGAGTGATTTGATATTTCCTTCTCCAGTGGATTAAGTCAAACAAAAGTTAAGTGACTTGCCAATGGTCACACAGCTATTAAGTGTCTGAAGCCAGATTTGAACTCAGGTCTTCCTAACTCCATGCCCATCACTCCCTCCACTGAGCCACCTAGCTAACTCCATATTGGAAGTGCCATAACTTTAACATTACTGAAATGATTTTTTCCTCTTTAAATGTAAAAAGAAATTTGAAAACATTTTCCATCAATTTGAAAAGATTATTCTATCAATATTTCCTACGGAAAGTAGGAGGACAGGAATATTTTAGTATTAAAGGGGAAGCTACTTATTCTGCACTCATTTTAAACCCATTTCAACAACAGTAAGTCTCAGGATCATTCTGTTCCATACTGACCTTTAGTATATTTCGGCCATCAAATGATTCTCTTTCCCGAGGGCCGGATTTTCCTGCTGGGGCACTGTTCCTGTCTTCAGCTGTAAACATAACAAACTGAAAATTAGAAGGGCTGGTTGGAAGGTACTTTCTCTCCTTCGATCTTAAAAAAATCAATTCTTAAAATATTTATGCATTCTGGGAACACACTATTAGAGAAGTTAAGTGATCTAGAATTTGAGTCCTGACTAGGCTATGCTACTACCTAGCTATGTGACCTCTACAAGTCACTAAAATACTCCAGCTCCAGTTTCCTCATGTGCCAAAGGAGGGGGTTGAATAAGATGATCTTTAAGATTCCTTCTAGCTCCACTCTATGACTGTATGGCCTTGATGTAACATTAAATAAACATAAACATATACACGCTTTACCCATTAGCTCACAGTGACACTCAAATTTATAATGGTGACTAGTATCATGATTTAAAGATTGACCACAAATATGAAAATTCACTGTTTACTGAATAAAACCATCACCATTATAGACACTTTTTTAAGTCTCCCCCCCACATTTTCACAACATACTTTCTTTTACCACCTCCCCCTCGTGGCCAAGGGCAAGCACTGCATGATAGCCAACCACAGTAAGCAAGGCAGATTTAGTATTACCAGGGGAACAAATTCAAGACACTGGTAAACCTTTGATCATTCCCTTTAACATCAACTTGTTCTAGGAAGCTTGGAATGAAATTTGCTAAGATGTTTAACATAATGACTTTTGTCAAAACACTGTTAAAGAAAAGGATGAACAGGATAGGCATAAAATGTTGCTTCCTTTTATGTTATAAAAAATAAAAGTCAACAGTGATAAATTTGTAAGATCATTTAAATATCAGACTATTTTTCCAGTTATTTTCTGAAAACACACTTTTTTCCCCTGATATTCCCCAGGAAGTTTTTCTTCTCATTTTGAGCATGCCCTAATATATGACATAGACATAGATTGCTGTGCCAGAATTTATATATTAACAGATGCAGCAACTACCAACTGCTGCCTATTTTAGTCAGCCCATTAGTGTTATAGATGGTCAGCTACCTAACAATTGCTGTAAACAGAAGTGTTCTCCTAGTTAAAGATCCTAATCTATGTACATCTAGCAAAGCCTACAACATTCTTGTACAACTCAGGACAAATTTTATAATGATATCCCAAATGTTCTAAGACTTTATGGTGCTATTTAAAGGAACAGGGATATTCTATCAGAAAAAAAAATTCAGAACTCTTGATTCCATACCAGACTCAAGAAAGGAATTTTAAAGACTTTGACTAAGTCAGAGAGACCTTGAGACTTTTCACTATCTCAGTGTCCCCAACTGTAAAAAAGTAGCTGAATAGTGATTTGTGGAGTTGGGGGAAAGAAGCAGAAATTCTTAAATGAAATACAATATAAAATTTCAAAATACAAGTACTGTAAAATAAATAAGGAGTGAAGTCCTAGTGTGTTGCAATGATTCTAACCAAACAGTACTGCTATTAAAAGTTTTCCAATAGGGTCTCTGATCACAATGTATGTCTCTGAGAATTAAAAAAAAAAAACCCATAACTGATGGCTGCCATAATAGAAGAGAATAGTAATACTATACTCTTGTTAAACCAAACAGTATCACAAGTCCATGAAACGTGTTGCAACTGAATTTATCACAAGAGAAAGGCACATGCATAAGGGAACTCTCTATACCAAGAAGCCCAGTGGTGTAGGGAAAGCCTTGGTATTTAAGTTACAGGGAAAAAAAGTCATAGGAGACAGGAAAAAGGACTAATCCCCTCCTGAAGGGGAGGAGAAATCATGAATAAGTAAATTGGCAAAAGCAGCATAATTTTCCCTTGGGAACTGCTAGACTATGAAGACATGATGGTCTGCTTAACTACAGGAGTCCTAGCTGAATAAAGTTTCTCAGTCAGCACACTGACTGACAACTATCTTGACTCCCAAGGACACACAGGGAGTTCAGCTTGGGGTATAAACAACAAATTATGTCAGCTCAGGGGAAGCTTTGTCCTTTACATATTCAGGGCCTCCTACATACTCCAGGTACATTTCTGGAAAATATGGCAACTCAAAAAGACAAGTTCAGGGGACCCCTTGACACTTTTAATATTAATATTTTTGAATCTGCAATTCCATAAATGGTACATGGTCCTAATCCTGACAAGAATGGCCTATCTCACTTCTTCTAGAACTGAAATCAGGGTGCCACCAAGTGTAATAAAACATGTATATTATGTAATGTATGTTCACAATAATCTGTGTGAAATGAATTTATGAGTAAATCATATTCTATATTTACTGAGGGAGAGGTTACTCTTTGAAGGTATATTGCAATGACTCTTCCAGTAAGACAAAAAGTCTTTCTGAAATATAAATGATCATTTCTCCCTACCCACCCCAATTGTACTTTCTGAGTTCTAATGGTAAAAGTAGAAATATGAAAACTTCTTAGCTCTATACTAAATATATTCCAACTATTTCCTCCTACATTCATTAAAACAAAATATTTGATCTCGAAAATCTAAGGATAGCCTGTCCAATTTAAGCCCTAGGAATTCACTATGTATTCACCCAATTAAAGGCTCTATCTTCTAAGGCACATACCAGTGGGATCTTTCCTGAATAGAGTGTTCATGACTGTGGCATGGAGTTTCACTCTGTCCCATTCCTTCATCATCAATCCAGACAACACAAACCGTTCTACCAGCTGGTCAGCTATCAACTGCAGCCTAAAAAAATTGAGGACATACAGAGGTAAAACAGCACATAATAAAGAGACCTCATTACCAAGACAGCTATCACTTAGTCAGGTTCCAAAATCCTCATGAAAAAAATCTTTGAAATGCCTGACATGAATATTAAATTTATATTAAATTTAATTATATTTAATTTAATTAATAGTATATTATTTATTTCAAATAAGGCTACTACAAAATTAGTGTCTCAGCCAGAATATCCCATCATAACTTCAGGATTACAAAGTAAGCAGCCATATTAAAACATGCAGAATCATAGAACTTAATGAAATAGTACAATATGTTAATGTTTACTTCCAGTAATACTTGTAGACACCTTCCAGAGAAAATAGAAGCGAAACACAAACAAGACACTCACCGGTCAGAGCCATCCCTCATGTGGACTTTAGCATAAAGAACATCCATCATGCTAGGATCGTCATTCATGTACTCTATTCCCAACATCTCTGCTAACAGGGGTTCACCTCCAGCAATTTTGCTTGAAAGGCAAAAAAAAGTAAAGGAAGATTCATGTCATTAAACCAAGAGAGTCATCTAGAATGAGGCATGTTCAGTACACAGATCCACAAAAAAACAGTAGTACTTCTTAATGTCATTGGTCCAAACTTAAACCAGGGACTACTACACATTTCCCTAGAGCTAAAAGAAAAGCTAAGTAACAACTTATTTGTCATGGGCTACTTTCGGGCTTTTTTAAAAAATTCTGAACTTAAGTACAAAAAAGTGAGCATTTCTGTATGCAAGATACACAACAGAGGACTGTATAAGAAATTGGAAATTTCTATTTCATACTGCTGATACCTGTCCTGCTTATCTACACTTTCTTCTGAACTACTGCTCACAGTGAATTAAAAAAATTTTTTACTCTTAACTTAAATGCCTAAAAAGAACATGTTCATGTACACAATAAAAAACAAAATGAGGATTATATATGAAACCATGAATCTCCATTTTACACCACTTGCTTTAAGTGTACAATAAATTCAACATGTTACATTCAAAACTATCTGCTCATCTGTGCTTCCTTCTGAACTTTCTTCTCTTCCATGCATTTTAAAAAATGTTTCAATGGCCCTCTTTTCTTGGCATCATTATTATTAATCTCTCTCCCTCCAACATCCCTCACATTTAGCTGAGATAAAGTGGTGGGAGCAGGGGTGGGGGGAACCTTATAACAAATAAGCATACTCAAGCAAAACTATTGCACACAGTGGCCGTGTCCAAAAATGTATGTCTCTGAACTTCTAGTGCCCATCAGCTATCTGGCAGTGGGTAAAATGCTTCATTATTGATCCTCTGAAAACACAGTTGATCATGCAATGATCTGAATTACTGTCAAAGTGGTTTTTTTCCTGGTTCTGCTCACTTCACTGTGTCAACTGATGCTATCCAGGATTCTCTGAAATCATCTCTTTCATCATTTCTTACAGCATAATTATATTGCATTACATTCTAGTACCATGATTTGTTCAGCTATTTCCTAACCGTCAAAGAGGCAATCTAAGGTACCTCCTTATATTCTGGTTCTCTCTTTTTTTTTTTCCTCTTTTAATCTGATGTCCAGGATCACGAAATTTGTTTTGTTTGTGACTATTCCCTCTTCCTGGTATTTCTCTTAATACCCATCCCCACTTGTTTCCCTGTTGAGTTTGATATATTTACACTCCAAACTGTTTGTGTGAGCATTCCTTTGACCATTTCAGATCAGGATGAAGTTCATCTGATGCCAGCTCCCCACAATCCTCTTCTCCCTTCTTTCACACATGGCAATTATGAAAAACTGCAAGTTCTACCCCCTTCTTCCTCCTTTCTACATTAGTACATTTCTTTTACCTTCTTATCTCTTTCCCTTCCCTTCTTAAAATACTCAGAATAGAACCAATCTATCAGGATCTCTGGTTTTCTTATTTATGTCTTGAAATACCATTTAAAGAAATTAAAGCTCTGAAAGGATACTTGTTTTTTCTCTTCCTATTAGAATGCTAAAACTACATCATCATACAGCTCCTTGCAATTACTCAAATAAATTTACCTTTATGGGTTTCTCTAGACTTTGTGTTTGCACTTCAAAGTTCTTACTTAGCTCTGGCCTTTTCATCAAAAATGCCTGAAAGTCTTCTATCCCATTTAAGATCCATTTTCCCCCCATACGAATAAATTTACCTTTGCAAGGTAAGTTATTCTTGCCTATAAGCCTTTATCTTTTGCCTTTCAGAAAACCGTGTTCAAAGATTCCCTCTCATTTTTAGTAGAAGCTGCTAGGTCTTGGTGAGCCTGAGTATGGTTCTTTGGGTACTTGAACTGCTTCCTTTTAGATGCTTTTAGTAGTTTTTTTCTTTGATGTCAGAATGCTGGACTTTGTCTATGATATTGATAGGATTCTTCCTTTTGGTATTTCCTTCAGGAGATGATTATTAAAATTTCTTTAAAAAATTTTAGTGATATCTTTTTATATAACCAAAATTTCTTGCCCAGCAACAGCACTTCTAGGGCCGTATCCCAAAAAGATCATAAAAAAGGGAAAAGGACCTAGATATACAAAAATATTTATAGCAGCTCTTTTTGTGGTGGCAAAGAACTAGAAATTGAGAGGATGCCCATCAACTGGGGAATGGCTGAACAAGTTGTGGTATATGAACATAATGGAATGCTATCGTGCTGTAAGAAATGATGAACAGCCAGACTTCAGCAAAACCTGGAAAGAGGTGTATGGTCTGATGCTGAGTGAAGTGAGCAGAACCAGAAGAACGCTGTACACAATAACAGCCACGTTGTGCGATGACTAATGTTGATAGACTTAGCCCTTCTCAGCAGTGCAAGGATCTAAGACATCTCCAAAGGTCTCATGATGGAAAATGCTGTCCACACCCAAAGAAAGAACTATGGAGTTTGAATGCAGATCGAAGCATGCTATTTGCTATTTTTTTTCTTCTGTTGTATTTTGTTTCCTCTTTCTGGTGGTTCCTCCTATTGGTTCTAATTCTTACTTACAACATCACTAATGTGAAAATATGTTTAATAGGAATGTATATGTATGGCCTATATCAGATTGAGTGCCATCTTGGGGAGGGAGGTGGGGAGGGATGGGGAGAAAAATTTAAAACTCAAAAGTTTATGGAAGTGTTCTTGATAAATCAAAATAAATTAATTTTTAAAAATTTTAAAAATTACTCCTAGCATTTCTCCCCTCCCTTCCTGGACAATTATCCTATATAACAAATAATATTTTTAAAGATCTTATCAGCTCCTATTTAAATATTATCTTTATACTGATGATTCTAAAGTCTACCTATCCAACCCTAACCTCTCTACTAATCTCCAAGCTCACATCTCCCAACTGCTTTTCAGATATATCAAATTGGTTGGCCAGCAGACATCTTAAGCTCAACATGTCCAAAACTGATGTCATTATCTTTCCCCCTAAACTTTTCCTCCATGATAACTTCCCTATAACTGTAGAGGGCATCACCATCCTCCCAGGCCCTTGGGCTTGAAACCTAAGAGCTATCCTTGACTTCTCAGTACCTCTCATCTCTCGTATCCAATTTCTTGCCAAGACCAATCGATTTTTAACCTTTGTAACATCTCTGGAATATGTCCCCTCCTCTCCTCTGACACTGCCACCTGCTCTAGCGCAGGCCCTCATCACCTCATACCTTGAGTACTGCAATAGCCTGCTGTGAGGTCTGCCTGCCTCAAGTCTCCACCTACTCCAATCCATCTTCCATTCTGCCACCAAAGTGATTTTCCTAAACCTCGGGTACAACCATGTTACCTTAATAGCATTTATCTAATCAATAAACTTCAGTGACTCCCTATTACCACCAAGATGAAATACAAAATCTTCTGTTTGGTGTTCAAAGCGCTTCATAACGTTGCCTCCCTCTTCCCCTTCCAGTCTTTCTACACCTTATGCCCTAGAAGTGACACTGGCTCCTTGCTGCTGCACAAACAAGACATTCCATCTGTATGCTCCTGGCATTTTCTCTGGATGTCCCCCATGTTTGGAATGCCTTCCTCCCTCATCTATACCTACTGCCATTCCTGGCTTACTTTAAGTCCCAGCTAAAATCTCATCTTCTACAGGGAACTCTTCCTAATCCTTCTTGATTCTAGTGCCTTCCCTACGTTAATTATTTCCTTTTTATCCTATATATAGTTTGTTTGCACATATTTTCTTTCTTGCTGTCTCCCCAATTGGATTTTGAGCTCTTTGAGGGCAGGGACTGTCATTTGCCTGTTTTTGTATCCCCAGCACTTAGCACAGTGCATAGCACATAGTAGGTATTTAATAAATGTTTATTGACTGACAAAGACAAGAAAAAAAGGAAAAAATCTGATTAATACATTAAAAAAGTCTGGGAACCAAGATGGATGATCAGAGGTAGCAACCTAAATGCATTATTTCAACATTCCCATTCAAACAACTTTAAAATAATGCCTCAAATCAAGTTTGGAGCAGCAGAGCCAACAAAAGTTGAGAAGAGCCATTCTCCCAGTCTAAGATAATTTAAGAGGGCAGCAGGAGAGCTCTGTGACAACATGGTGGGCACAGACACTGTAACAGCGGCAGCAGCTTCAGGAGATGGTAAGGGAGTCAGGCAGAGGGGATCCCTGTGCTGTCAGTGGGCACTATTTGTCAACAAAACTGCCCATAAGCAGTTCTAGGTTACAGTTCCATGGCAGAGAAGAGCTCTGGTAGTTGGTCACAAGGGAGCAGGAGTTCTGGTCACAGTTCCAAGGCCAAGAGGAGTGCTAGGGCTTGAGACTGCAGAGGAGTAGGGGCCCTTCCTTCGTAAAGACCACAGCACACAGATCAGGAGCGCAGTAACCATACCTCTCACTGCTTCACACCACCTTGGAAGCACCAAAAACTTACAGACCCCCAGAACTAGCTCTGAAGACAGTAGCATGAAAAGGCTTCAAAGATTGGAATAGTGCCTCCCCACCCTCAGGTGAACAAAGCCCAATTTTAATATAAAGTTCAAAGTCAAGAAAGAGGCTAGGAAAACAAGCAAACAAACAAAAAAAGAATTTGAACATCAAAAGCTACTACAGTGACAGAGAAGTTCGAAGACAAAAGCTCAACAGAAGTCAACAATGTGAAAATAGCTACAACCAAACCTGAAAGAAAAATGCTAATTGGACCTAAGCTCAACAAAAATTCCTGGAAAAGTTAAAGAAAGAGATAACAGTGGTAGAGGAAAAATTGGGGGAAAAATGAGTGATACAAGAAAATTATGAAAAGAGAATTAACAGTTTGGTAAGAGGTATCAAAAATACTGAAGAAAATAACACCTTAAAAAACAGAATCACAAATGAGGTACCAAAATTCACTAAAGAAATAAACTTTTTTTTCCTTTTTTTAATATAAATTTATTTTTAGTTTTCAATATTTACTTCCACAAGATTTTGAGTTTCAAATTTTCACCCCATCTCACCCCTCCCCCCACCCCAAGACTGCATACATTCTGAATA